CTTCTCTTCTTCAGGCTAAATATGTCCAGCTCTTTAAGCTGCTCCTCATAGGGCTTGTTCTCCAGACCCTTGATCATTGAGTTGCCCTCCTCTGGACACATTCCAGCTTGTCAACATCTCCCTTCAATTGTGATGCCCAGAACTGGACACAGTATTTCAGATGTGGTCTGCCCAAGGGAGAACAAAGGGGTAGCATGACTTCCCTGGATCTAGGCACTATACTACTATTTTTGCAGGCCAAAATCCCATTGGCTTTTTAAGCTGCTGCTTGACATTGTTGGTTCGTGTTTAACTTGTTGTCCACGAGGACTCCAAGATCTTTTTCACACATACTGCTGTCGAGCCAGGCGTCCCCCATTTTGTATCTCTGCATTTCATTTTTTTTCTGCCTAAGTGGAGTATCTTGCATTTGTCTCTGTTGAACTTCATTTTATTAGCTTTGGCTTATCTCTCTAATCTGTCAAGATCGTTTTAAATCCTGCTCCTGTCTTCTGGAGTATTGGCTATCCCTCCTGTAAGGAAGCGTAATCCCACCTAAATGGGATTACCAAAATTAAATAAATATGTATGTTAATCCACCTAATTTCAACCTAAATTATAAGGAAGTCCCAAAATTGCTTGATTACACTGCCACCATTATATATATATATAGAGACGTTGGAATTGAAGTCTCTATTTATCCCTATCTGCGTTGTGAGGCAACTTTGGTAGAGTGGATTGCACCAAATGTAAAATCAATGGAGGAGGCAGATTTATAACACAGAGAGAACAAGTTTATTGTTAACAGAGCGTAATTGTTGCAATACTGAGATGTTGAACTTGGCACAAGCTTGATGGTTACAATATGGCTTGGTAGAGATACATTCAGGTTTCTGATGTTACAATCCTTTAAACTCCTTCTTCAGTGAAGTACTTTATTATTTCAGTGTTCCCTGTTGTGAATATTCACTCTGTTTGTCCTATACCGGATCAAACCACCGATCTCCAGTCTTTCACTACTGGGATCCCTAAAACCCCCTTTGTTAGATTCTTTTTAACACAAGCAATCTAACAAGGTTTCACCTTCAGCTCCCTTGCTGAAGAAATATTCACAAATGCTAAGAACTAACTGAATCTATACTGCTTCACCACACAGAGCCCTAACTGACTCCGCTCCTCTTCTCAGGGTCTCATCCTCCTGACTACCCATTAACTGTTACTTTCAAACCTTTTTCTCCTTAAGCTCCGCCCACCTTCTCCTCTGCCTTGTCACCATGGCAACCTATCTCTCACAGCTAGGCCATGGCCACGCATGTAAAACATAAATACAGTTTAAACACAGTACAATAAACCCTTTATAATAAACACTTCTCTACACCTCCTAATTTGGTCTCGTCAGCAAACTTGATGATCATGCCTTCTAACCCTTCATCTAAGTCATTAATAAAGATATTGAACAGGACCTGGCCCAGGTCGAACCCTGCTTATGGCACTCCACTCATCACTTCTTTCCAGGATGAAGAGGAACCATTGGGGAGAATCATTCTCTGGGTTTGTCCATTTAACCAATTACAGATCCTCCTAACCGTAGTTTCGCCTAGCCCACATTGGACTAGTTTGCTTGCCAGAAGGTCATGGGGGACCTTGTCGAAGGCCTTACTGAAGTCTAGATACGCTACATCCATGGCATTCCCTGCATCTACCCAGCTTGTAACTCTATCAAAAAAGCAGATCAGATTAGTCAGGGATGACTTGTTTTTGATAAATCCGTGTTGACTATTAGTGATTATTGCATTTGTTTCGAAGACCATTCGTTTGCAGATCATTTCCAGAATTATCTTTTCCAGAATTTTGCCTGGTATCGATGTGGCTGACCAGATGGTAATTGTTGGGTTGTCCTTTTTTCCCTTCTTGAAGATAGAAAGGATATACTCTTTCCATCCCTGCTCCCTTCCCCTCAGACACTTATCACCTTTCTTTCCCAGTGACATCAGAGGGCCATTCACCTAGCAACTGCCTTTGGGGTATTAACCAACAGACATACTTGAGACTTTTATGTACAGGTAGTCTCTGGATTACAAACATCCGACTTACAAAGTTAGGAATGGGTCTGAGACAACAGGAAGTGAAAGAAATCTATACCTCTGAAGGGAAATTCACTTGTGGAAGAGTTATCACAGGGAAAAGGTGTCTCCAATGAAGCTTTCTCATCAATCCTTATTTCCACAACACACCATTCTTGTTGAAATCCAATTATCACACAGGGA